CGAGCGTTAACGAAGTACTTTCCCACAGTGAAAGTGGACGCGGATTGAAGTCGAGCTGTAGGAAACTTATTAATAAATTTCTTTTATGAGAAACTTGGAATCGAACGTTCGCGACGGTGCTCCTCGGATGAAGCACTCGCGGAGCGGCGGGCGAACGATGTTAAAACCAGAGGATCAACTGCGCAGCAGGGGTTAACAGGTTCGCACGTGTGCGCAGTGAAGGCGTACGATTATTATTATTAATTATCCACAGGGATCGTTCAGCGAACGAGCCGCGAGCCGGGTAAATTAATTATGCCCGCGTGTCCTGCGGGAGGAGCGTGTCCGCCACGGGAACGAAGGGGATTCCAGGTAACAGGTAAACCACGTCGGGGAGGGAACGCAGAAGCGTCCGATCCAACGGCGGATAGTGGCCGACTAGCGCGCCTTAATTACCGCTAATTAACATGTTCCTGGCCGGTCGAAGTCAGCGCCGTTTACGGCCCCGGCCACTTCGGAATGTTCGTCCGAGCCCCGAGAAAACCCGATTGTTATATTTTTCTCGGCCACGCTGTTCACCTTTTTACTGTCTGGCTCGCGATCCACTGGATTCTATTACTCTCCTCTTTCTTCCAACCCCTGCTAACAAGGTTTCCTCCAATTCCTGTGTGTTCGTTCACGGGGGTTAAAAATAAGAGGAACTGTATAAGTCCACCTTTCGCAAATAAAATAGTCTATAAAATAGTCTATAACTTGTAATACTTTGTTATTTAGTTGCTCTATGCTTCTATTTATTGAATTCCTTTATTAGACATCAATTGTCTTATCATCAAGTAATTTGGAAGCTAATTACTGACCACCACAACAGTCAACGTGCTAAATGCAAGTGTAATTCTTTTAATGCCATAGGTTTACCGAACGCGTCAATCGGACGCATATTGAATCATATTTGATCGATGCAATTGCATATGTATGCTAATTGCCTATTTTTAAACCTCTGATTTCCAAGATACAAACGTACAAACGTCCACTTTTCTAGGAACAATACAATAAACTGTACGATACCCGTGAACTTCAATTCCATGAATAAACGTGTAATTATAAATGAAACTAAAACTAAACGCGGGCAATTACAATAAATTCTTGTTCCACGATACAAGATTTCTAATAGAACGAATGATCCAACGACAACAATCTCGAGTAGACCGTAACGCGAGGGATTCCATGATACATCCGCGCTACAAATGAAACAGTCCTCTCTCGCTCCCTCTTACAGCAGCCTCCCTCGCGACGAGAAATCTCCTTTCATTTGTCATCTCAGCTTTGCGTTTGACTCGCCAGTTTCTCCCCATTGTTCGCCGACCGGGGATAGTTTTGTCCTTTCCCCGAGAAAATCGACGAACGACGTGTTCAAAGATCTCGGAGGGCATCGCGAGCGAAGATTCACGGGTGGATCGAGTTTCCTCGGTGAATTCCAGCGACGGATAGCCACAATCGGCGACCTTGGCTTTCGGGATCACCGGCAGGCGACCCAAGGTCGAAGATTCGGTCAACACTTCCTCCCTTTGAGAAGAAACCACCCCCTTTCCTCGCTTTCTTACCCGCGCCACGGTTTTGTCCCTTTTTTCCTAGTACTCCCTTCTCCACCAGGAGTTTCTGTTTTCTTTCCTGCGAGTGGAACTCGCGAAGACACTTTTTACTTGGGCGTCGCGAGAGCCCACCCCTATCCGGTCCGGGGTGGAGGATCGATCTGATTTTGAGGGAAGGTGAGAACTAGGTGCGACGTTTCTTTTAGGAGATTTATACTACGAGAAAAATATTTCGTCGCACCTTCGGTGGAGAATGTTGACGGATGATCTTCGAACCTTTCAGTTTAACTTGGTTCGAAGTGTTTTAGATCTTCCGCTTTAAACTTTGCGATGTTCTTTGGTTGAACTATATTTTGATGAAGCAAATGCGATGATAAGGTAACTGTAAGTTATATTGACTGATTCGAGAACAGTTGGATAACATTAAAACTGTGTCTATACTATTGCAATATTACGAATAATTCTATGAAGAATCCATAAAGTTGATAATTGATGGTTAACTGTTTTAGTTCTGTAAACTGTAATATCATCACGAGTGATTCAATATTTGTATAGAGTGCTGTATAGACACTTCGATTAGGAATTTGTGAACATCACACTTGTTTTCATACTCTGAGAATTCATATTTGTACCGAGGGATGCTAGGTTATTCAAATATAACCAAAATTCACCGCTTTTCCTGGAAGGATTTACAATAGGATGAAAGGACGAAGCGGAGGAGGCGCCGTGTGTGGACGGTCGCGCGTTAATTAGTTGTCGAGGAGTTTAAAGGCAACGTGGAAGGACTTCGGCTGGTTTCTAGGTGGTCCCGAAGCCTCGAGTCATCATAGCCTCATTTACTTGGTAAAACAATCTTCTCGGCAGCTCGATAGGCCTAACTGCATTAAACTTCGCCACCGCGTAATTAAACTTCCCTGTGGATCAACTAGATTCCTCTCAGCCCGGTTTAGGGCACGTTTATTAATTACTAAACCGAGTATTTTTCGAAAATCACCGGGTAACTTCTGCCATCGTCTCCCTTTGCCTTTGTACTTGTTCTTTTCGATAGAAAATGTTTCGCAGCAAGAGAACCAGAGAAGTTACAACGGATTATTAGAGCGCGCCAGATTTCACGCGGCTAAGCCCCTTTTTTTACTGATTTTACCCGTCTAATCCTTACAAATGCCACGGCAATCTAGCTTTTTCCCTAATTCGTATTACCGAGCGACCCGCATCATGCGAGTCCTAATCTTGACGGAACGCGGCCTGTTACTTCGCGGCTATTTGTTGAACACCACGGTGCTCTATAAACACCGCTGATAATCCCGCGAAAAATGCCTGGCAATTACTCCACTTGTACACTCCTATCGAATCGATAGATTCACCTTAAACACTGAAACCAAGATGAACAATCAAGCATCGAATCGTCGTTTAAATCTCTAAATATGTTAACTCCTTGACCTATGACTTATTTCTCAACTGTGATCAGCACAACTTTGTCAGTAATCAATTATTGAAAACAACGAACAATTCTATGCATATCCTATGTCTATGTTCGCCCCATAATATAATAATCCATAACAAAATAATAATACTTAATTCGAACTCAAAGGGATCGAGTAATATTTCTCTTTATTAAGTTCTATTTAAAATGTTCACCATGACTCGCACGTTATCGTAAGCGAACGGGTTAACACGTTAACCAAAGAAAATCCATTTCTCTTAATAATGCGTTGTCTTTCAACTTCTTTACTTCCTACTTTTTCTCTTACCCTCTATACACAGTCGAGCTATAAAGAATAATCCATTAAATTACTTCCATACGCTTTGTATTTTATATTTTATTATCTTTTATATTTTACATAATTACTTTCCATGGCTCGCTAGAGTTTCGATTCGAGAATACCATCATACTCCCACGAGGAATATGCAACTGGCAGTATATTAATACCAACCATGCGATTTACCTTGAGCTCCAACGACAGCCGCCCGGGAACAACTGAAAACGGGGGATCGAGTCACTGACAGGGATTAATGTGCATGACCAGTACTACTGTGCCTTTTATTTCCAGTATCTACGACGAACAAGTAAATTACTCCTACGATTCCTAGATTTCTCGATCGCGCAGCTGCAATCACTCTCTACAACACGCGATAACAGCGACACACACCCACCGTCATCCCGAGCAACTATATCCCGCCGACCGGAAAACAACGCTAAAGGCAGTCGTACAGTTCTTCGTTAAGTGCGTCAACACTCTCGCATACTCTCTCGTTCCCCGCGCGGAAACGTGCACAATGATCAACCTTAGAAAAAAGAAAAGAAATCTCTCGCGTGCCCCAGCGAGAACGAACGCGTATACACAAGCGTGAAAAATGTGCGCGGCT